TTTTACGTTTGTATTTTCTTTTGAGTAAATTCTTATATGCCCCACCCCCTCTGTAATGCCCTTTGGGCCCTGAGGGTATTGAAATAAATAAAGAAATAAATTAGGTTAGGTTAGGTTAGCTTAGCTTAGGTTAGGCTAGGCTAGATTCGCTTAGGCTTGGTAAGGTTAGGTTGGGCGCAGTCGTTTCAGGTTCGGTCAGCTCAAGTTCCCTCAGGCGCACGGTGCTTGCTTTCTGTGGAAGCAGCACCTCCTCGTGCTTACTACCAGCAAGAGCGCGACGTGTCGAGCTGAAGACGTCGCCGTACCTCTACGGCCACGGGGCATGCGAGCCTTCCTCGAACACTGTGTCGACCCGCGACGTCGTAGGCCCGTCGAGCCTCGGAGGGGGGTTCAGCCTCGCGCGCCCACGCAAGATGGATCTGCGGATTAGGGTTCCTCTGGCATCGCGTGCGCGCGGTCCGTGAAGCCGGCGCGGCGACTCGGGCCCTGCGCGACTTCTCTTCTGCTCCGTCGCTATCGGGCCCTGCCTGCCTGCACGCAGCCAGTCGAGGCTCAGAGCCCGCCGGTGGCTGCAGGGATAGTCCCTAAAGCCAGCTTCTCTGCACGGATTGGCTTCGCCGAGCCCCGCGCGTAATTTGCAGGCTGCCGGCAGAAGAGCTTCGGAGCAGCCGCCCGCTCGCTGCGCCAGCCGACCGAGAGGAGATTGCGTATTCAAAACGCTTGCCTGAACTTCCTTCCGCGCATTTCTTTTTTTTTTTTTTTTTGTCTTGGACTTTGTATATTTTGCTTTCGTAATGTATTTGTGTGTCTGTTCTTTTGTTATGTTCTTATATGATATTTTATCGTCTTTTTTTAAGGAGGAAGGATGAAAAGGAAAAAGAGTAGCGCACAAACGATCCTGAAGTGAGGTGGTTTTTTTTTCTTCTTTACTATCGTTACTTTTCCCACATTTTCCCGTGAGCGCATTTTTTTTTCTATGTTAATTGTGTGCTTGATCATTTGATGCAACTTATTGTGCTCTATAGCGTATAAACTGCTATCTTTTTTTTCAACTAGGCGTTTAATATGTGCATCGAGGAAGTACAGAAAAGCTGCTCAGTTACGTGTCACTGAGTTTTTTTTGTTTTTCTTTGTTTTTTTTTGTTTTTATTAGGCGTACGGGATTTGGTATTAAGCCACTATCGTAGTTCAAAGAGAGCTTGGTTAAGTTGTCCAGAAAAGGGTTCATCCAGATCTTTCTGACGATCGGCAATAACCATGCCTCGTTTTTATTCCTAGTACTTCCGTTTCTTCCTTTTCTTATAGGCGATCTCAATCTGCTTTCAATTATAAGTAATAACGTTTTTTTCACGGAGCGTTAGTCGTAGGTGAGAGAGCATTCACTTTACTCTACTCAAAAGAATACGAAAAATGTAATATTCTAAACTTCCTTTTTGTTTTTAACACCTAAAGCGGGTGGGCGCCAGACAATATTGTCACGAAGAAATTTGGAATCTTTCTCAAGTTGATGAAAATACTGTTATTAACCAACAACTGTTCATTTAATAAACATAGACAAATTACTCCTCTACATCACTTTGCACATTACATCTAATTTGAGATTAAGCTTTTGGGGCTACTACTCCTAACTTCTGGCGACTTCCCCGCCGTCCTCCTCGACCACACCTCGAGCGGGCGACCCGGCCACAGCCAAACTCGACAAACAAGAATCCACACAAAGATGGGCGAGCCGAACTCCCCCAGAGCCGTAAGGAGATCGAACGCTAGCAAATTAGCGGGCGGAAGACTCCACAGCCGAAGGGGATCGAACGTGCAGGTTGGCCTCCCGAGACAGGGTGATGTTCAAGGCTTTTGCTATCCAGGAGCCAAATCTTCTGCGGGAATTCGGCGGCTGCTTATATTGAGTTTAGCGGCATTTTGGTGCCATTTTGGCAACCAATCCCAAAAGGTTTTCTTAGAGTCAGTCCAAAGGCTCGGAGCCCAGAACAAATATGAACATCCCAAAAACTAGCGCATAGACAACGCACGGAACACATTCCGAACGAAGCTTACAGGAGCAGCTATAAACAATACAAAGCACATTAATAGACAGAGAAGTTATACACGGTGCAAAAAACACCTTCGAAGTGTAGATTCCAAAAGCAGACATGCACAAGACAAAAACATCTTCGACGCGGGGTTCCATAAACTAGGTGTAGAGTTAGAGCGGTCACGTTCGCCCCGACTTGGAACCTCCCCCCCCCCCCCCCCCCCCCCCCCGACTCCGGTAGAAGCCACGAACCGTGCGTGGAGGCGAAAGAACCCTCGGAGAAGGTAAAAAGCTAAAGTAAAGCTAAACTAAACACTCGCGGGAGCACAACTTCGCGACAATATTGTGTGGTGGCAAGCGCAGCGGATCATGCGTGGCAATTAAGAGAGTCAACAAGTTGCTCTTCTTGCGTCGAGGAGCCATGCTCCTGTCAGAACGCTTAGCTGGGGTGTTTTGCCCCGTCCCACGCGCGATTTAGTTCCGCAAGAAAGGATTTAAATCACCAGTTGTCACAAATACGAGGAGCTACGCATATTAGAATGGACACGCAATCTGAGCCAAAAGTCCAGAAGTAGGATTGAAAATCTCGAATATTTTATTCTGCTTGAGGGAGTATGATTACGTTGGTTTTGAGCTTTCATTACTACAGAACTTGCAACTTTGTAATTAGTCTGTGGCGTGGATATATGTACAGACATCTAAAGAGGGCGACATGTTTCCCACCACCTAGTGGCGCTACACAGATCAGCACAAACATGAAGGTTTTTTTTTTTCTTCCTTCTTTTTATAGTTGCCCTTTTCTTTCATTACTATAACGCATTGTATTATCTTTTAGCTTAAGGTATCACAATTGCGATATAAAGCAAAAAAATAGCATAAAACTTAGCTGTGCTATGTTTCTCAGCTACTTTACGGACGACGCAACTGAGAACAGAGTTAAGAATTATTCTGTTCTTCGTGGCTATACGTTGCCGTGGGTCAGACATGTACAAGTTACTCAAAAAAAGTAATTAAGTTAAGTTACTGAGTATTGGTCTCAAAAGTAATTTGAGTGGAGTAGAAATTACTCAAATGGAAAGTAATTGAGTAAATTACTAACTACCGTAAAAAAGTAGCGAATTACTTTAAAGTTACTTTTGAAGTTACTTTTATATGTTTTTACGGTAAAAAGAAGGTACACAGATTTTGATCCGTTAGCGAAATTGTGCTTGCCAAATATAAATTGTCTTGTTTTTTCACAGAAATGCTTAAATAGCTGGTTCTGCTTCTGCGTGCCTAATTGTTTTGTACTTCCTTGTTTGTTTGGTCAATTATGTGCTGTAAATGTGTCATTTCTACATTGATCTTTAGTACTGCCTGAGATTGACTTTTTAGACAGTGTATGCTTGTGTAGAGTGTTGCGTAAAGTACATCTTAAAAGTATTTGAAGGGAAGTACAAAGTAAATGAGACGTTATGTTCCTCAAGTAAAGTAGTAAGTACACCGGGTGCAATGTACTTGAAGTAACATACTATAAATACAATATATTTGAAGGTAAAGTACAAGTACTTTTAACACAATCTTTCATGATGACCTTTCATTCCCTATACAGTGTCTTTTAACTGGTATGCATTGCTCCGGGGGTAATCGGAGCTGCATCGGTTTTGACGGAAATGGCAGCAAATATTGTATAAAGTCAAGTCACCATAGAGGAGTAGTACTCTCGCTGACGAGCTATTCACACAATCAACTTATAAGGCACTTATTTGTATCGGTTTTATAGCTGCCATTATTTAATTCAGAGAAATGAGCAGATGACATCCTGAAAGAGCGCGTTTTCACACGGCTATACGCCATTTTTTTTTTTTTTTTTTTTTTCAAATTCGGGGAATGAACACTGAAGTCGGGAGTTTTACTTTCCTTGGAAGGTACAAGTACATGCTCAGAGAATGTACTTCAAGTAAAGTACAAGTTTTCTAAACAGTGGTACTTTAAGTACCATGTACTTAGAGTACTTCCCAACACTGCTTGTTTATTATTTTTGATATGAAAATGGTGGAGAATTAATAAGTTTTTTCGAACGATCTTCGAATCTTCGAAGATCGGCATATTCTAAGGTTTGGGGAGGAAAGGCAACGCAAAAAGGTCCTCTCTGCGTTGCCCTTTGACACGCCATTCTTCGAGTACAGCACAAGCTACGGGAGCACCAGATCAGCTTCAGAGCACGAGCTGCATTCTGTCGTCTCCTTTGAGTGAGGATGCGGAGTGTGCACTTTCTGTAGTGAGCGAGAGTTTCTACACTGAGGAAAAGCGGAGACCTGCTCTTTGTTCAAATGGGTCTCAAAGAAACGCCAGTCTTCGGGACTCAAAGAAACGCCAGTCTTTGGCGCTAATCCCGTAGTTACTCGACCCCTCTTGTGTCGTGTCTGTTCGCTCCCCGCGCCTCATAGCAGTGTTGTTGCAGGGGGAGGGGGCTCGGCTCGTGAAAATGTTTCGGAGGTTTCGGAATCCCCACACCATATCCTTCCCCCCCCCCTTCCTACGCCAGATGCTTCTCCCTCTTTGCAAATATCACCTGATCTTCCAACATCTTACCTCTTCTGTGCAGGAATGTTTGTTGATAGGAAAAACACCTACTAAAATTCCAAAGTAATTTGTAATTTGAGTAGAAGTTACTCAGAAAAAGTAATTAAAGTAAACTACTAATTACCGAAATAAAAATGTAATTGGAAGTTACTAAAATACTCAGAAAAGTAGTTTAACTACAGTAACTTGAGTAGGGTAGTTGAACTACGTACAAGTCTGCCGTGGGTACGGGCGACGTACCCATGTCCACGTGTGTACGTGGCCCGTTTTGCCCCCCCCCCCCCCCCCCCCACACACACACACAAAAAAAAAAATGTGTTGCTTGTATGTTTAGACAGTCTCGAATCGAGTACGCCTCCACGGGTGACTTGCCTCTTAGCTGTAGATGAGAATTTAGCCAGTGCAGTACCACCGCCAACCTGGGGTCTTTAACGTGCACCACGCAGTAGTGATTACATGAACGCGGGCCGATATACGAAACTCATCCAGAGCGAAGCGGGGAGGGGTTGGAGATCGAATCCAGGAAGTTCCGCAGCGCAAGCTTTCGCTCCACGCTCCGAGCTGAGACGCGTTTGCGCTTTGTGTAACTTTGTATACGCTGAATTCCGCCTCTTTTCGTCGGCACTGAAGCGGTGCTACAAAAGCGAAGGTAATGCGAGAGAAAACGGGACTCATCGAAGCGTTGGCCTTGGGGACTTTCACCGCCGTTTGACCTCAGTTCGCAAAGGGCTGCGCGAGCCAAGCGTGTCCCCCCGACTTTCTCGGACAGGACTGCATTCTTCGCGGCTGCGCATTTCGTACGCGGGGCCCGACTGGCTAAGCAGGCGCCGTTTCAAGGGGAACCGGCGCGCTCTCGCCTCGCCGGTGTAGCTTACCGCATTCTTCCGAGTTTTGATCGATCTCCCGGGTGTTGACACCTTGTCGACGGCTTGCCGTACGACACACAAACTCGACGTAGCGCGGGAAAAAAAAACGTAAACCTCAAGGATTGCTCGAATGAAGTGAACTTGACACCTATTTTCCCCTGCCTCGATCACCAAAATTATACGTCGTGGCTTTGCGATGGTTATGGCAAAGTCAAATCACGGTCGATATGCCCACAATCTGACAAAAACTCACTTCGGCACGCGCCGCGTATAAGATGAGGTGTCAATGAAAGACTAAAACCTCCAGATGTTAAAAGACTAGATATAAATTCTCCACTCGAGTGCGATATCTTTTGCTAGTTTGACGAAGAAACATCCAAACTTTTTTTTAATGCAATTATTCATCGCACCTCTTTCTTCTTTTTCTTTTTATTTAAGAAGAAATGTTATGAAACCAATGACATTTTACCTATAAATATTTGAAAGTTTGAAAGTTAAAGGGATAACTTTCGATCCGTACCGTGCTACTGTAAAGCTGTCTTTTCGAATATCGGACGGGTTGTCTTTATTGTCAACTAGCACGCGAGACTCTTCTGCTTTACGACGCCGGAAGTGCAAATGATTCCTGGGAAGTCAGACAACCTGGTAGGGGAACATCTAGTCTGTCATTCCATTTTTGCCTTATGAACGTAAGTGGCAATATTGGAATCTATCAAAAGGAGTGGAACTGGTGACGATGGAAGGATGGAAAGAAAAGGATTTCAGCGACAAAGAGGCGATTAGAAGATTGGTGGAAATTATCTAGAGGAAATTGAATGATGCACAACTAACTACACAGCTGGGGACAGGAGGGACAGAAGAAAATTGCTACTCCCTGACGCGTGGCTCCGGCTCAAAGTCTCAACCCTGTCTGCCAGTGGGTCCAGTCCTGGGGTACCGCCAACAAGGTTTGACCAGTGGAAAATTGGCGACTCCATCGTCGGGGGGAAGAGGAAGGGTAGGGTGCGTGATGTTTTTAGTTGTTTCTCTTTTCTTTGCTCGATCTCCTAAAGGTCTCCCTGGCGATACCCCACACTGCCTGGTGATAATTATGGTGAGAAGATGGGCTTAAAAGGGTGGGAGGAATCATATGCTTGTTTTTTAGACTTAGTGTAGGTGGCGCAAGCTACCGCCCATCACAAAGGGTACAGCCATTAACATCCATCGATCCATCCATCCATCCTTTTGAAAACGAAGACCTGCAAAACCACCTGTAACTAAGGCTTTTTTTTTTTTCTTTGGATGGGCATTTTTGGTCTGTTGAAATCTTTAAATATGAAAAAATTGGTACCCACTGATTTGCCTCATAATTAGTTAAACGCATTAATGGACACATCTGAGACCGCTAGTGCTCTACTGGCATAAAATATGACCACAGCCGTAATATTACGTCAAAGTGAAGCCGCGTACTCCGCTAAAACAGATTTTAAAGGTGCGACCAGCTGCCCTTTAGCGGGTGACAAGGGGACTAGCTTTGAGTCAAGCAATACTGAGCGACGGGCACCGCAACACCCTCCGTGATGTCACGTCGCGGTGGCGCTGCGGTTGATTCCGCACTTTGTACAGCGTCTTGCAGCACCACTGTGACGTCACGTCATGGCCGTACAGCTGATACCAGTGTTGCCTTTCCCCTCTAGATAGTTCCGGTTTTGCCGGAGACGCCTGAAACCAAACTGTGATATATAGGTATATAAAACTACACAGAATATCTAAAAAAAAGAGAAAGATTTTATCTTGTAATTTAAAGACACTGACTGAGCTAAAAACAGTCGTAGTCTGAAATTCGAAAATACTGACCGGAGTTGCCCTTTAAAGTTGTTTTTTTATTTAAATTTGGTGTGAGTAACTGAGAGGTTTACTGGTGACTGAAAACGTGACGATATATGTTGTAATATGGGGGAAGTGCAGCTTGTGTCTGACGGGTTACAAGAACTTTGATAGTGTGAAAGAAATGCTGTCAAGCTCACGCCGGCTAAACTTAAAAGAAAACGCGCAAAATACTGTATTTTTGGACTGTCTGCTCGACCGGCAAGTTGCAATTTATACAATATGTGACGTCACATTTCATTTCATTTCATTTCATTTCATTTATTATACCCTCAGGGCCCGAAGGCATTACAGAGGGGGAGAGCAACAAGAAGGTTAATGCAAATAACATAATACATATTTAGACACACTCAGTAATAAAGTAATTAGTTATTGTACTTTTAAAGAGCTCAGAGTCCGTGATAATGGCGATCGACCGGGGAAGGTGGTTCCACTCCTGGGATGTACGGGGAACGAAAGATGAATAAAACGTGGTTGTGATAGAGTTAGGAATGCCCACCTTATGTTGATGATCAAGACGGGAGGAAACATAGACAGGCCGAGCAATTAATTTGTCGCGCAGGAAAAAATTATGGTGATACATTTTATGGAATAGGGAAAGACGAGAAATTTTACGACGTAGGGATAAAGGTGGTAATGAGAGAGTTGTTTTCATAGAGGTGACGCTAGCGGTGCGGTGATAGTTTGTGAGGATGAAACGAGCGGATCTGTTCTGAACGGCTTCCAATGTAGATACGAGAGTGACTAGTCCGGGATCCCAGACAGAAGCTGCATATTCTAACTTGGGACGAATTAAAACTTTGTAAAGAGTTAATTTCAGTGAGACAGGGGCTAATGAAAAATTTCGCTTGATGTAACCTAACATGCGGTTAGCGTTAGCTGAAATATGCTGAATATGTGTTTTCCATGAAAGGTTAGAAGCTATATGTACGCCTAAATATTTGTACGAAGATACCGGTTCTAGATGAACATTATTAAGGAAATAGTTAGGAGAGTCCTGAGACTGGCGAGACACACGCATGACCTTGCATTTGTTAGTGTTAAGCTTCATAGACCACGAGTCAGACCAACGGTAAATAGCATTAATGTCTGATTGGAGTATACAGGTGTCATTATGATTGAGAATCTCACGGTAAAGTACACAGTCGTCAGCGAACAGAGACACGGACGAAGAGACACTAGTGGGTAGGTCGTTAATATAAATTAAGAATAGCAACGGTCCAAAGACTGTCCCTTGCGGAACCCCTGACGCAACTTTGACAAAAGAGGAGTTATTGTTATTCACAGTGACAAATTGAGACCGTTGAGTTAAAAAAGACTGTATCCATGCGAGAACGTTATTGTCTATGTTAAGTTTGGAAAGTTTTAGAAGCAGAAGATTGTGAGAAACTTTGTCAAATGCTTTGGCGAAATCCAGGAAAATGCAGTCCGCCTGGGATCCTCGGTCCAGAATGTGATGTAGGTCATTCGTGAAAGATAGCAGTTGGGTCTCACATGAAAATGTTTTTCGAAAACCGTGTTGGGCATTGTTGAAGAAGTTGTTAGATTCTAAGAAGTTGACGAGGTGAGAAAAAATTATATGTTCAAGAAGTTTGCAAGGAATGCTGGTTATTGAGATCGGACGATAATTAAGAGGGGAATGTTTATCTCCAGCCTTGTGAATGGGTACCACCTTCCCTACCTTCCAGTCTGATGGGAGAACAGCGTCTTGTATAGATTGTTCAAATAATTTTGTTAAAATAATTGAGGAGTATTGTTTAGTGTTTTGTAAAAACTTGGAATTAATGCCGTCCACTCCTGCTGAAGATGACAGTTTGAGTTTATCTATGATACGACCGACGCCAACGTAATCAAGAAAAAGAGGATCCATGGGCAAGTAATCGGCACTCTCTAGCGAAGGGAAATCGTGCATGTTATCAGTAGAGAATGAATTTGCAAAAGTACTATTTAATAAATTTAAACACTCATCGCTGGCTATACAATCACCATTTGCGGTTTTTAGTGTGATAGATGACTGCGTCTTTTTGTTTATTGTGTTCCAGAATTGTCTAGGATTGTTGATCAACATTGCGGGTAGGCTATGAGTCATGAATTCTAGTTTGGCGTTTTCAATTGCTTTTTTGTACACTTCAGCAGCAGTACGATAACGCAACCAACGGTGCTCGCACGTGGATAATTTTGCGGCGCGAAATAGACGCTTTTTTTTGTTTGACAAGCATTTTAAGGCTCTGGTGAACCAGGGTGACTGAGAGTTTTCGATAACTCTCGTTAAGGGAATGTACTGATTTGTTAGTTTATTAACTTCGGTTTTGAAAAAGTTCCAGTTTTCTTCTACTGAGCGACTTGAGAAGAGTGATAAATATTCATCGAGGAAAGTTGCAAGGTCAAGATTAATTTTATCAAAGTTAGCTTTGGCGTAATCTCGAATTTGCTTTACATTAGTTGATGGTTTCGGTACTGCTGCTTTTACATTAAAATGCAATATGGAATGATCACTAAGCCCTGGAAGATAGGAGATGGGTGAAACGAGTTCAGGATGAGTAGCGAGAACAAGGTCTAATACGTTCGCCGTCAATGGGGTCACTCTGGTTGGTTGGGTAACTAGTTGCGTGAAACAAAAATCTAAACAGAGGCTAACAAAATTATTGCATTCAGATGAGGCAGATGAGGGTGTGCCTGTTGGTGGGTTATT